GGCCCTGTTCATACAGGGAAAGACGGGGGCTCGGACAGTGGGTTCATTGGGTCATTCAGTGACCCTAACCCGTGCCTGTCACCCACAGATACCGCGTCCCCCCCCAGTGTGTCCCCGAGTTCCAGTAGCCCTGCATCTCCCGCCTCCGCCAGCCACACCCGCCCCAGTTCCCTGCACGGCCTGGCTGCCAAGTTGGGGCCACCCCGCCACAAGAGTGGCCGTCGCAAGTCCACCAGCAGCATCCCGCCGTCCCCGCTGGCCTGCCCACCCACGCCTGCGCCCCCGCCCCCGCCCCGCTCACCCTCACCCCTGCCCGGCCACATCCCCACCCCGGCCCGGTCCCCCAGGCTGCGCAGGGGACAGTCGGCCGACAAGCTGGGCGCCTGTGAGCGGCTGGACGGGGAGTCCGGGCGGCGTGGCCGCGGGCCCGAGGCCGAGCTGGTGGTCATGCGTCGGCTGCACCTGTCCGAGCGCCGAGACTCCTTCAAGAAGCAGGAGGCCGTGCAGGAGGTCAGCTTCGACGAGCCGCCGGACCCCGGCGAGGACACCACGCTGCCCAGGATCGCCGTGCAGGGCGCCGAGGCGGGGCCCACCGCGCAGCCCTGAGCCCCCGCCCAGAAGGAAGTCACCCGAATGGGGACAAGAGCCCGCCTCCTGCCACAACGGGGCTGCCGCAGCGCCGGCCCTGTATTGTGCTGTCTGCCCTCGAGGAAGGAAGGAAGACATTGTACATAGCAGCAAAGGCTTGCGACTAATTTATTACTTTTTTTTTTTGTAAAATAAGCAATAGGAAAACTGAGGCACCCCGAGGGGGCGGCTCCCAGGTCCTGGGTCCCCCAAGTCCCCCCATTTTCCTTCCCTCCTGTTTGCAGACGCTGCTCTCTGGGCTGAGACAGAAGCACCTTGCACAAGTCTGTTTGTGTTTTTAGCTCATCTGTACTTTTACATCCGGCCCGTGTGTGTGTGTGCGTGTGTGTCACCTGAGCCCAGGCAGATTTGACGGGTTGTGACAAAGCTCACGTGACCCCAGATAGGACTTGGAGAAGCCCTTTCCCACAAAACAATATGCTCCCCAAGATGGATCCCAGAGGCCACTTCTCACGGTCACAGCTGCCCTTGGTAGTCTGCCTCCAGTCCTGCAGGCTGCAGTCTAGAGGAGGGGGTGTGGGAGCTGAGGTTTTGACAGGTGAATAGGAGTTCGCCAGATCTAAACAGAGGCCACCCTGTCTACAGGGAGGCACTGCCAGTGCAGGAGAAGAGTGTCCACTTGTTGACGAGTCTGTGTGTCTGAGCCCTTAAAAAAAAAAAAGAAAAAAATCCATCTGGGGACATCAATGACCCGAGTTTGAATTTCAGCTTCACTGTGTGTCTCTGGGGAAAATGGCTTTCCCACTCTGTGCCTGAGTTTCCTCGTGTTTACAAGACTAATCTCAACGACTATTTATTAAGCACCTACTGTGTGCTGAGTGCTTTCACTCGTGCCGTCTTGGTCACCTGCAAGGCACAGTCCAGCTGAGGCCAGACAGGGGCAGGGCCTTGTCCCGCCATGGCTCGGGGAGGCCGTTGGAGGAGGCTGGCGACACGGCTGTTCCCCGATTGCTTGTGAGGCTCTGTATCCGCCCGTGGGTCCCAACCCAGCCCTGCCGGGGCTGGAGGGGAGACCGAGGCTGTGCGTATCGTGTCATGCCTGCCGTATGCAGCTGGCAGTGAATAAAAGCCCATATTTACAAAGAGGCCTAATGTGTGCATTTGTGGGTGGTGAAAACAACTCGGGGTAATGAGTCCTTTGGAGTGGGTTTTGCAGGTTGCATAGGAGTTCACCAGTGAGATTCTCCCTGGGGTGTTTTATCCCGCACATGAGCCTTGTGGTTTTTTAATAGTCAATCCAGGCCCCAGAGCCCCAGAGCCCCAGCCACTTGGGAGGCGGGAACTATAGGAGCCCTTGAGGTCAGGAGTTCAATACCAAACAGTGCAACACAGATAAACCTCGTTCTAAAAGAAAAACAAAAAGCTTCATCCATATCCCCATGTGGAGCCCTAAGCTACGTCAATAAGACAAATTAGCCGTTTCTATGTCCTTTGTTTTCTGGTTTTTGCTTGGGCTCGGCCTCGCAATTAGAGCACTTCCCCGAACCCGTCCCGAGAGGGATCGGCTACTTCCGGAGATCTTCGCCAGCCGGTCGGCCGCTCGGAAACACCCTTGGCCACGCCCCTTCCCCAATTCCGCGTATTTCCGGAAACAATCGTGCAGCTGTCCACAAGCCGGCCACGCTCTGGGCAACTGCAAGGCCGGAAATCTTTCAGGTGCTTCCGGACGCGGGCGGGTGCCATGGAAACGGGAGACACGAGTGGTTCCGGAAAAGCTTAATTTTTCTGAGGCACACTGCGCCCTTTACTGTTTTCCGCTGAGATTTTGAGACCGCCTCATAACCCTCCCTCCAGAACTGTCCAAGCTTCGGCAATTTCCGGAAGCTGGACGAAGTCGTCCGGTCTCAACTCCCCGGGCCGACATGGAATTGGAACCGAGTACGCTCGATTGTGTTCGGGTATCTCCGAAAACGATCGGAAGGCACTAGACCAGCCGAGCGTCAAAGCGTTGGATGATCCGCGCAACCCGACTGTACTCGGCTCTTTCCGGAAACGCTCGGCTCTCTCGCGCTAACAACTCCTGCAGTCCCGCGGGTGTACATTCGGCTCTTTCCGGAAACATTCAGCCATCCTATGTCCCTTCCTTAACTTCGCCGTGGCCTCGGGAACCCGAGTGCACTCGGCTATTTCCGTCAGGGGGCGGGCCCGGCGGTTCGGAACGGCGGCGGTGGTGGTGGTGGCGGCGGCGGCGGCGGCGGCGGCGGCGGCTTGACGCCGGGATCCCGCGTTTGAGGCGACGGGCGGCCGCGGTGGAACCACAAGGCGGGCTGGGCTCGGCTCGGCTCAATGTGACGGTGGCCGCGACCAGGTGAATGCGGAACGGGCCAGGCTGGGTTCGTATGCGGGGCTCGCGGGCCGCGTTGGAAGGCAGACAGACCGCGAGTCCCGGGAATTGGGGGTCGGCGGCCAAGCGCACGCCCGAGACAGTTCGGACGGATTTCGGGGTTCGGGTGTGTGTGTGGGAGGTGGGAAACCGGAGCCGCCCCCCCACCCCGAGATCGTGCTGGGCGGGGGGAAACCGGGGTACACCCACTTCCGGCGTCCCTCTGCTGCGGGGTCCCCCGGGTCGAAGGCGTGCGTACGCGAGTGCGTGCGTGCGCGCCGCCGCGTCCCCCCCCCCGCCTTGCTGCGCGTGCGCGCGCGCGCGCTCACCAGGGCGCACGGTGGGTGCCCGCTCCTGGACTCGATTTTTCCCCCCCCGTGGCAGGTGGGGACAAGGGCATTTGGGTTCCGCTTCCGTGCTGGACACCTGTCACGGTCCCTGCACCCCGGGGACAAAGCCAGGACTTTGCATTTGGCACTTGGGGTGCTCTTGGCACCACTGTCCCCATGCCAAGTGCTAGCATGGCCCCTGCCTCTGCCAGGCCATCCTCAGGGCCTCCAGGAGAGCTCTGCACCCCACGAGGTCCCCCATGAGGCTGAGCTTTGCACCCCCAGCTTGAGGCTTTTCGGGGGAGTGTGCAGCACCCTCTCTGTCCACGTCCATCCTCCTCCCACCCGGAGCTAAGGTCCCCATTGGCGCTTGTTGATGCCTCCCTGTGTTTTCCGTTGTTGGGGACCCTCTCCTTCCGCTTTCTGCAGACTTGGGGTCCTCTGGCTGGGACAGACCTCTGAGCTTCCACTTGGGGCTCCTTCCTCACCGTTTTCTCCGTCTTCTGCTTCCTTCACTGCTCAGCTGCCACCCAAAAGCACACCCAGCACCCCACTCACACACACCCGCTTCATCCACTGATCTGAGTTCTATTCACCAGGTGGCCGTGCACCTGCAGCCTGCGTCTGTCTGTCTAAGCCCGGAGTTGGCAGGTGTGGCTTTTGCTCCTGGTTTCTTCCTGACCTCCCTGCTCTGAGCCTCAGTTTCCCCCTTCTCTACCGAGCTGTTGGCTGAGTGCACAGTGTACGTGGGACAGCTCATTTCATAGACAGAGAAACTGAGGCGCAGAGAGAACAGGATCCGGCTGCAGGTCACCTGGACATGCTGATCCATCTTTGGGCCCATGTCTGTGGGCCAACTGCTGACTCTGTCCCGTCCCTGTTCCTCCAGGTCTGTCTCTGTGGCTGAACATGGTGACAGCCTGTGCCCTTGGCCATCTCGTCTGGCACAGCCGGAGGAGCTGGCAGCCTCAGCCTCCGATGGCCCCCCGCGGAAGTGAGTGAGCCACTGGCCGCAGCGCCACCATCTGCTGGGGGACCCAGTGGCCGAGTGACCCAAGAGCACTGCACAGACCCACGCAGCGTGGGAGACGCATGGTGCACAGAGCGACACGCAGCCCTCGTCACGGCTGTGTCACATTGGGACAGCAAGCATGAGCGATCCCCACGGTCGCCCCGACTTCTGCTGGAAGTAGACACCCGGGCCCCCCAAGGCCAACTCACGGACCCCGCACCCCGGCCCATGGGGCCAGCGGGGCCCCCAGCAGCCACCTGAGCGCCCCAAGCCACCCAGGCGGCCACCATGGCCGGCGCCGAGGGCTTCCAGTACCGCGCGCTGTACCCGTTCCGCCGGGAGCGGCCTGAGGACCTGGAGCTGCTGCCCGGCGACATGCTGGTGGTCAGCAGGGCGGCCCTGCAGGCGCTGGGCGTGAGCGAGGGCGGTGAGCGCTGCCCGCAGAGCGTGGGCTGGATGCCCGGGTTTAACGAACGCACACGGC